TAAGAGATGGGCCAAGGTCCTCAATAGACATTTTTCAAAAGAGGAAATCCAAATGGCGAACAGACACATGAAAAAAATGTTCAAGATCACTAGCAATCAGGAAAATGCAAATCAAAACCACAATGAGGTTTCACCTCACCTTGGTTAGAGCGGCTCACATTCATAAATCTACCAACAACAGATGCTGGAGAGGATGTGGAGAAAAAGTTATACTAACCCACTGTTGGTGGGAATGCAAGTAGGTTGAGCCACTATGGAAGTCAGTCTGGAGATTCCTCAGAAACCTGAAGATAACCCTACCATTCAACCCAACCATCCCACTCCTTGGAATTTACCCAAAGGAAATTAAATTGGGAAACAAAAACACTCTCTGCACCTTAATGTTTATTGCAGCTCAATTCACAATAGCTAGAACCTGGAACCAACCCAAATGCCCATCAACAGTAGACTGGATAAAGAAATTATGGGACATGTACTCTATAGAATACTATTCAGCAGTCAAAAACAATGAAACCCGGTCATTTGCAACAAGATGGAGGAATCTGGAAAACATTATGCGGCGTGAAATAAGCCAGTCCCAAAGGGACAAATATCATATGTTCTCCCTGATCGGCGACAACTAACTGAGCACCAAAGGGGAAACTTGTTGAAGTGAAATGGACACTATGAGAAACAGTGACTTGATCAGCTCTTGCCCTGACTGTTGATGTACAATGTCATATTTTATCCATTTCAGTATTTTCTCTTTGTTTTTTTCTAGTAGTATTGGTTGAACTGTGTGATTAACACACAATTATTCTGAGGTGTTTAAATTTTAACTGAAAAGTGATCCCTGTTAAATATAAGAGTGGGAATAAGAGAGGGAGGAGATGTACAATTTGGGACATGCTCAATCGGACTTGCCCCAATGGTGGAGTTAGAATCATGCCAAGGGATCCCAATACAATCCCATCAAGGTGTCATGTACCAATGGCATCTCACTAGTCGAAGTGATCAATTTCAGTTCATACTTGATCACACTGATAGGTCTAAGAGTCAAAGGGATCACACAAAGAAGACTAGTGTCTGCTAATATTAACTGATAGAATCAAAAGGGGAGAGAACGATTTATTATGGGCAGCGAGATACACAGCAGACTCATAGAATGGCAGATGTCCTAAACAGCACTTTGGCCTCAGAATCAGCCCTTAAGGCAGTCGGATATGGCTGAAGAGCCCATGAGGGTATTTTAGGCATGGAAAGCCAAGAAACCCTAAAAAAAAAAAATCCTAAATGGAAGATCTCTGCGAGTGAGATCCTAGTGGAAAGAATGGGGCCATCAAAGAAGGAGGTACCTTTCTGTGAAGGGAGGAGAGAACTTTCACTTCGACTATGACCCTGTTGGAATAAGATCGACGTCGGCGAACTCAAAAGGCTTCCATAGCCTTCGCAACTCATGACTAGAGCCTAGGGAGATTACTGACACCATAAACAAGAGTGTCAAATTGTTAAGTCAACAACAGGAGTCACTGTGTACTTACTTCTCATGTGGGATCTGTCCTTATTGTGTTGTTCAATGTGAAGTAATGCTATAACTAGTACTGAAACGGTATTTTACACTTTGTGTTTCTGTGTGGGTGCAAACTGATGAAATCTTTACTTAATATATCCTAAGTCGATCTTCTCTATATAAAGATAATTGAATCTTGATATGAATGGAAGGGGAGAGGGAGTGGGAGATGGGAGGGGTGTGAGTGGGAGGGAAATTATGGGGGGGAAGCCATTGTAATCCATTAAATGTACTTTGGAAATTTATATTTACTAAATAAAAAATAAATTAAAAAAACCCTCCAACATACAATTTATCTCATCAAATCTGCATCTCTGTTTTGTCTCCACTGACCCATCCCCAATCTACCAGCTCCATCCTTCCTTGAGACAAGGGGTACAGAACGGACCTGTAAGTAATAAATGCAACATTTACAAGCTCTCATGAGGGAAAACATCATAGCAAGGTGTCTTTGATGCTAATCCAATGGTACATCTATGTTTTCCCCTGAAGAAAGTTCAGCACTGTTGTGATTGTTCCATGGAGGAAATGTGTTAACACCACAAACTGAGTCAACTGTACTTGTAACAACCTCATTGTTGACAATTGTACAGTAGCCATGATCCTTAGGCATGCCCTATTCTTGTAAAATATGCCAATTTTCAATCTAATCCTTATGTCACACACTAAACAATGACAACATAGTTGAGCCCTGGATGAAAGTACTGCATGAAAGAGAAATACTGGAAATGGGGTAGCTTGGCTACCATTTCATGGTTTCTATTAAGCAATCTAAAAATAAGTCATCCATCATGTTTTCAAAAGCATGGGTGAGCTTCCAAATAATTGCTTTAGGCGTCACATCTTTGATACAGCCACAAATGCCATTTATTTTACCCTTATATGTAATTATATGCACTGGTGTTAGGCATGTTGTTGCAGGTGGGCATCCTTCACTTGTAAGTGGATGATCTTTTTTAATTTTTTAAAGATTTATGTATTTGGAAGTCTGAGAGAGAGAGAGACAGACAGACATAGAAGAAGAGATCTTCCATCTGCTGGTTCACTCCCTTAATAGCCACAACAGCCAAGTATTGGCCAGGCAGAAACCAGGGTCCAGGAATTCCATCCCAATCTCCCAGATGTGTGGCAAGGGCCAAGTACTTGGGCCATCTTATGCAGCTTTCCAGGCACATTAGCAAGAAACTGGATCAGAATTGGAGTAACTAGTACTTGAACTGGCACTTGTGGCACTTGCTGGTGTTGCAAGAAGTACCTTAGCCTGCTATGCCACAATGACAGTCTTGAAGTGGGTCACTTTGAACATTTTATTTCTGTTTGGCATGTCACTGAATAATGCAGAAGATTAATTTCTACTGAGTGACTACAATGAGAGCTGAGACCCATATACATCAAATCCAAATGCCAACATGACCAAACTGAATTTCAAAATAAGATTCCTTCTAGAAATATTAGATATCAGCAGAATCCAATTCCAAAGACTACATTCCACAAGTAGGTCAGGTGCTGATGTTATAATGTCAAATAAAGCAGATATGGTTCTTTTCCTCATGAAGTTTACAATCTGGTATGAAAGAGCAATCTCACCAAAGAGTATTGCACAACATAGTAAACACTCATGTGAAGTGAACAGATAAATATTCAAACACTCCCAATCCAGCACCTCTAATCACACACACTATAAGGGACAGAAGTAGTCATAAGCATAGAATGCCACGTGATCTGGTTAACTATTTATTTATAGAGCTTCCAATTAAATTTTTAAAACACAAATGACACACATATACCTAAGAATGCATATTATTTAGCCGCTACCTCAATGTAAGAAAAAATGATCATGGCATAATAATTAAGAATGAGGCTTTGAGACTCATCCCATTTTTGGACAGTTTGTAACCCTATGTGCTTCTCCATAGTGTGGATTATCCTTACTGTTATCCTTTCTTTCTCATTTTGTTTTTCCAGATGAGAAATCTGAGGCATTAGAAAGAGATACACAAGACAAAAGAATGATTTCTGAAACACTATTAGATTTGGGTTGGCTTTTCTCCTATATGCTTTAATCACATTCCCATGGGCAAATCAGAAAGCCCTTCTTTCTTTTTTTTAAGATTTTTATTTATTTTACTTGAAAGTCAGTTACACAGAAGAGAGGCAGAGAGAGAGAGAGAGAGAGAGAGAGAGAGAGAAAGTGAGAAAGAGAGGTCTTTCTATCCGATGGTTCACTCACCAATTGGCCGCAATGGCTGGAACTGTGCCAATCCAAAGCCAGGATCCAGGAGCTTCTTCCAGGTCTCCCACATGGGTGCAGGTGACCAAGGACTTGGGCCATCTTCCACTGCTATCCCAGGCCATAGCAGAGAGCTGGATGCGAAGTGGAGTAGCTGGGACTCGAACCAGCACCCATATGGGATGCTGGTGCTTCAGGCCAGGGTATTAACCCACTGTGTCACAGTGCCGGCCCCAAGACAACCCTTCTAACTTCAGTTTTCTCTTTGTAAACTGTGATAATATGGTCTCCAGAATTAATCTAAGGCGTTGAATGAGGCGATGTGAGGCAACTAGTCCCTTAACTTGGCTCCTCGGAGATTTTCAGGAATATTTGTGCTCTATCTAGTTCCTGTTTGTCTTTCCAAACTTTGTGAATTAAAGGATTAATAGGGGCTGGTGCTAATTCTCTGCTTGTGGTGCCAGCATTCCATATGGGAACTGGTTTGTGTCCCTGCTGTTCCTCTTCTGATCCAACTCTCTGCTATGGCTCAGGAAGGCACCATAGGACGGCCTAAGAGCTTAGGTTCCTGCCTCCATATGGGAGTCTGGGAAGAAGTTCCTGGCACCTGGCTTCTGATCAGTCCAGCTCCAAGCATTGTGGCCATTTGGAGATTAAACCAGCAGATGGAAGACCTTTCTCTCTATATATAACTTTCCCTCTCAAATAAATAAATAGAATCTTCAAAAAATGATCATATAAAATGATTTAAAAACAATGACCAAAATCAATGACATACCAATATAAAAATCTATTCTCAAATCTGGATACAAAACTATGCCTTTGCACGCCACCTAAAAGTTACATTGTATTCATACTCATTTATTATTTGATTCTTATACACAAAGACCCAGAGAAATCCTCCAGAAAGAAAAGCAGCAGATATTTTTCTGAAAGAACAAGGTTATGAAGAAGACAGGATTTGGGGGTCAGTCAGCAAAATCAGGTGTCATTCTTAAAGCCTCGGGTCCAAGAAAGGATGAGCAGCAACCAAATCTTGAGATTTTTGGCGGGTGTTTATAAAGGAAAGAAAAGGGCTCTAGTTTCCAGTTCAGACTCTGCCCAAGGCTGCCAAGCCCTTGGAGAGGGCCAGCAGCTCTGACCTCTAGGAATGCCCGAGCCTGGACTCCATTTCCCAGAGCTCCCTAGGAAGTCCCAGCATTCCGCGCTAGGCGTGCCTGTGTATATGCGCGCGCGTGAACAGGGACGACCTGCGCATGTGGCTCCGAGTCCCCGATCAGCACCTGCCTCAGCACCGCTCCAGCTCTCACACTCACAAGGCTCCTGTCCCCTTCCTGCAATCCCAGGGGGTTCGCGAGCCCGCAGCCCGGCGCATCCCCCGCCGCCTCCACTTCCGCTTACGCCGTGCCGCGGGCTTTTCCCGCCGCGTACCTTCAGCCCCAGGCTCTCTGCGTTGCCTTGAGGTGCGCGGCCGGGTCCCTCGGGAGTTTCCACGGCAAGTACGGAGACCGGGAAGGGTAGTGCATACGTGCGTGTGGGAGAGGCCTGGGTGCGAGGGCGGCTGGCGGCTACAGACCGGGCTCGCTCTCCTGGGCGCGCTTCCCAGCCACTGACTGTGGCTGCGACCGCTGCCTCCCAGCGTCTTACTGAGTTCCTGGCGCTGCCTCCGCTCAGCACTTTTCTCCTTGTTTTGTTTTGCATAGACAAGGGGGTAGGGGGACCGGCGCGGCGGCGCTGGGCCGCCCTCAGCCCGGGAGCCTCGGGGCGTCAGGCGGGATGGGGACGGAGGTTCAGGTGAGGCTTGGCCTCGCTGTGCTCCCACACATCTGCTCATGGGAAGCCCGCGGACACCCAGGGCAGCTGGGACTCTGCGTATTCGTCGGACTTTTTCCTAGTCGGGTTGGGGGTGTATGCAGCAGCTTTGTTGGATGCAACCCGGCTCCCTGTGGAGCAACCCCTTGTTTGTGTAGCTAAGTAGCTGTTTTTTTTTTTTTTTTTTTTGGGGGGGGGGGGGGGTGGTGTCTGCTGTTCGACTTCTGGCTTCAACCCTTCCCTTCTTTTTCTCCTTTTAGTAGAGATGGCGTCTCATGATCCCTTTGCAAAATGAGAAGTGCAGTGAATGTAAGCCTACTCTGCTTGGGGCCGTACCTGGAGCTATTTTCATCTGGAGTTGTCTCAAATGAGAAGCTACAAACACAGCCAGGCAGAAAGGTAAGATTTGTGCCCAAAGGCTCCACCAACTTGATTGTCTTATAGGCCCTAGTGTTTTAATTAAGGGGCCAGTTAGTTTTCTTATTTTGGGTTCAGTGTTGAAGCCCAAGCGAATTTCAGAATTGGGAGCATAGTAACTGTAAATTGTTCATAATGTCAGTGATGTGCAGAAGCTTCTGTACAAGCTGTTAGTTTGAGGAGGGGCTAAGAAAGAAAAGGGAAGAGAAAGAAAGTTGCAGATCTCCCCACACAGAGAGGCCCACACAGCAGAGTTAAAGAAATGTGGCCTTGAACAATACTGCTGAGTTACTTTCTGAGGTTTTCAAATGAATAATCAGGTTTGCATGATTCCCAGGTTCTGTTAGAGGGTTTGGCGCTGTGACCAGATGACCAATTTATGAGACTAATTCTTAAACGGCAGTGTGCTGTTTTTGTTCTTTTCTCTAGCAAGCTTCCTATCCTTGTGCTTATTTTTTTTAAGAGATTTATATATCTATTTGAAAGACAGAGTTACAGAGAGGGGGAGGGAGGGAGGAGTATCTTCCATCTGCTGGTTCGCTCCCCAAATGACCAGAATGGCCAGAGCAGGGCGTATGAGGAGCCAGGAGCCTCCCCAGGTTTCCCATGTGGGTGCAGGGGCCCAAGGACCTGGGCCATCCTGCATTGCTCTCTCAGGCCACAGCAGAGAGCTGGATGGGAAGTGGAGCAGCCAGGACCCAAACTGGCGACCACATGGGATGCTGGCACTGCAGGTGGTGGCCTCACTTGCCATGGCACTGGTCCCTGCTTGTGCTTATTGAGGGGCAAGCAGTTAGGTATTTCTGCTGTGAAGGACTGCTTCAGACCCTCAAAACAGATGTAAGTGCCCTTTCTGAGCCACTATGTTGTGTGACCATTAATGTGACTTGAAACAACTAGGAATAGGATTCCTAGACATGTCAGGCCAGCTGGCTGTCCTTGGCAGATCCTTCCCTGTACTGCTATAAGTTGACAGGTGAGTTTAAAATTTGGAAAAGAAATTTTTAAAAATATGAAATATTTAACTTAGAAATGATGCCTTTACAGAAAGGCATCAATTAGGAAGCAGTCTGATGATATCCATTCATCTTCCCATTAATATCAGTGATTGACATCTGCTACAGGGTGAAAGGAAATATTCTGAATTGCTAGGAGGATTCAGCTGTAGTTTAACTGAGATTTTTCTGTTAGAGGGAATAACCAGAGTACTTCATTGTAAATGGGTGATTTGAAGGAGTGGGGCACCTTTTTTTTTTTTTTTTAATCTCTATGTAAAGATTATAATTGGTAGCCGATGGTGATTTTTGATCACGCTTTGAGTTCATTAAGTTTCTATGTGGAAGTTATCAAGCCCTAGTATTCCTTTTATGTTATCTTTTTTTTTTTTTTTTTTAATTAATGTATTTGAAAGGCAGATTTAGAGGCAGAGATAGAGTGGTCTTCTCTCCACTGGTTCACTCTACAAATGGCCACACCAGCTGGAGCTGGGCCGATCTGGAGCCAGGAGCCAGGAGCTTCTTGTGGGTCTCCCATGCAGGTGCAGGGGCCCAAGGACTTGGGCCATCTTCTGCTTTCCCAGGCCATAGCAGGGAGCTGGATCAGAGGTGGAGCACCAGGACTCCAAGTGGCGCCTGTATGGGATGCTGGCTCTGCAGGTAGCTACACCACAGCGCTGGCTCCATCTTTGCTTTTGATAAATAACCTTTCTTCTGTCTATCACTAAAGATACTTTTTTTTTAAATAGCATTTATTTATTTACTTACTTGGAAAACAGAGTTAGGGTGGAAGAGAGATATAGATAACTTTCATTGCTGGTTCACTCCACAATGGCCAGGATTGGTCTAGGCCTAAGATAGGAGCTTGGAACTCTATCCAGGTATCTCACATTGGTGGCAGGAGCCAAAGCACTTGGCTCACTCACCAATTCTGCTTTCCCAGGTACATTAGCAGGTAGCTAGACTGGAAGTGGAAAGGCTGGGACTTGAATAAGTCGTCTATATGGGATGCTGGCATTGTAGGTGGAGGCTTAGCCAGCCATATCACAATGCTAGCCCCTCCATATACTTTATTAAACGATTTTTTTTCAAAGATTTATTTATTTGCTTGAAAGGCAGAGTTACAGAGAGGCAGAGGCAGAAAGAGAGATCTTCCATGTACTGGTTCATTCCCCACATAGCTGTAAGGGCTAGAGCTGGGCCAGTCTCTGAAGCCAGGAGGTTTTTTTTGGTCTCCTATGTGGGTGCAGGGGCCCAAGGACTTGGGCCATCTCTACTGCTTTCCCAGACAATAGCAGGGAGCTGGATTGGAAGTGGAGCAGCGGAGCAGCCAAGACTTGAACCAGCGATTCTATGGGATGCTTGCACTGCAGGTGGTGGCTTTACCTGCTATGCCATAGTGCTAGCCCCTGAAAAATTTATTTTATTCATTTGAAAGATAGAGTGATAGAGTGAGTAAGAGAGAGGTGTTCCTTCTGTTGATTCATTCCCTAAATGCCCACAATGTGTGGACTTGGCTAGGCCAAACCCAGGAGCCTGGAACTCCATTTAGGTCTCCAATTGGGTGGCAGGGACCCAAGTATTTGTGCCATCTTCTGCTACCTTTGCCAGGGGCATTAGCAGGGAGCTGGATCAGAAGTGGAGTAACTGGGACTCAAACTGATAAATCATAAAGGATGCTAGCATTGCAGCGAGTGACTTAACATTATGACACAGTTCCAGCTTCTCTGTCTATATGTATATATATATGTGTGTGTGTGTATATACATATATATATATATTTTCTTTTTTAAAGATTTTTTATTTGAGAGGCAGAGTTACAGAGAGAAAAGTCTTCTGTTTGCTGGTTCATTCCCAAATGGCTGCAGTAGCTGGAGTTGGACCGATCTGAAGACAGGAGCCAGGAGATTCCTTTGGGTCCCCCATGAGTGGTGCTTCTTTACAATATAGACCTCTGCAGGTATTCTACTGGGTAATGTGGCCTTCAAAGCTTATTTTGAGTATTGTATTTGAAAGTTTCATAATTTTTTTTTTTTACTTACCTAAGATGTATTTCGCCTGGAACACATACAGACCAAAGTCAGCTGTGTGTAGATCACAGGAAGTTGTCCGTTGATTTTCCTGAATGAAAGTGGTGGTCTGTTGCTGCCCTCTGGCTCGTGAAGCCTGTGGTGTCTTTTGCCTGAGCTTCTGTAAACCAGAAACATGGACTCTCGACCACTTTTTTTTTTCCCCTCCCCCTGACTTTCTTCCTCCATCTCTTTCTCTTTGCTATTTCTCGTGGTCTACAACAGGGGTGATTCCCTAAGAATACTGCTTTGATCCAATATGCTACTTGGCCTCTGTCCCTGGGAACACTGCTTGTTTTGTGACACTGGCCACTGAAAGAGACTTTACGGACTCACACTGGGCATCGGCAAGATGGACAGCTTGTCTTACCTTCCCAACTTTTTGAAATTTCCAGCCCTGGTGGTTTTGGCACCCATGACCGAGGCTGGCCATAATGCGTCTATCCTTTGGAAGCAGTCATGATCCTTTGGTGTATATGTGTCACAGTAGACAGTGATGTGCATATTGTATTCATCAGTAGTTTCTATACCTTTACTTCTTTGTACCTTCTGCAAGGTGGGCTGCTAGGCAATTTTGCCAAGTATGCTTTTGCGCCTTCCTTAACTATACCTCTGCCCTCAGTGTTCTCCTCTAAATCTAGATTGCACTTCAGGCTGTGTGCTGGATCACAGTGGCGGGGGTTTTCCATGCATTTTCTTCCACTGTGAAGCAGATGAGCTGTCAGTCAACTTTTACGCCAGCCTAGGAACTGCAGAATTGCAATGGTCCCCGGTTTGCATTTAGCAGATGCAGATGGCAAGTGATAGGACTTGGGGTCACAGTACCCCTCCAGCTCTCTCTGATCACTTATTGAAGGTGTGTGCTGTTTCTGGCCTCATTTCTGATAGGGCGTCCTCATCTGGCTCAGAAGATTGGGATGGCAAGTTCAAGCCCTCCCATCCCCCAAGTAAGCTCTGCCTTGTGGTCATATTCAATGTCAGTGCTATTGTGCATGCTTCTGGTCATGGGAAAGGCCAACTCCTTTTTACCTGATAGCCGTGGAGTGCTGGCATGTGCCAGTCTCTCATCAATGAGCATTGATAGTTCTTGTGGGAAGTATTTTTCTAACGGTGTTCAAAGGCAAGTTGGCCTTGGTGTTGCCTTGGTTGGCTTATGCTCTGGGGACTCTGGAGTGAAGAGGGGTGCAAAGAGGCACTGCAGTGCATTTCACTACATCAGCAAGTGTAGACCTCTAGAGAATTTGGGGGAGATGGGGTAAAGAAATTCACCCATCCCCTCATTTCTTTGCTTTCCTCATTATCTTTCTCTGATCTTGGTTTTTTCTGGCTTTTCCATTGACTCCCATGCACCAGATTCCATGTGATTCTGTTTTCACAACCCTCAACCCTTTTGTCAGAGAAGAAAAAAGTTGTCTTCAGTCACTGAAACATTCCCAAATAGCTGTGTTTTCCTTGTGACCAGAAGGCTAGGAAACTGACGACTCTTGGGACCTAATAGGTTTTCTGGGTGCTTATCTTGGGGCTCACTTTCAGGAGTTCCTGTGTGACTGCTCTGTATTTTATATTCACAACTGCTACTACTTCCTGCGTATGAAGTGGCTTTTCTCATTTTCTTCAAGTGCCTGGTTGGGATGTGGCTACGGTCACCCAGAGTGAAAACTAAATCTTTATTTGGCACTTGGCAATATAAGTGCTGAGCCCTGAAATCTTCTGCTCAAAGTTATTCAGAAAGTAATTGTGCTTTAAAATGACTGGGCTGTGGGTAGGTAGGGCAGTTATCTTCAAGCCTGCTAAGAACTTAAGAATTGAAGGTGTTTTTCCACTCCATGATTTGCCCTAAGATTTGCTTCATTTTATTTTCTTAAGAAAACTACAGCTGAGATTTATTTTTCCCTGTTCCTCTGATTTTTGTGCTTCTCCGCTCTATAACCACCAACAGGAAAACTTTTTTTTTTTTTTTTTTGTCTTCCCCTTAGAGGCTGAGAACAACAGTTTTGTCCATGTTGGCAGTGCTTTCTCAGGCTGTCTCCATGACTGGAGACACTAAAAGGCATCTACCTAGACCCAGTATACCTTTTCAATAGAAGTTGTCATGAAATCCACCTGCCTCATACATTGCTCACGATTTTGGTTTTGAAATGTGCTGAGAGTGTGTCTCCTCTGTCGGTGTCTTTAAGGTGGAGTTTTCCTACTGGAGGCCGAAGGCTGCTGAGGGGTAGCACAACGGCCAGCCTTGCTGTGTGGCTTTGGCTGTGGCTCCTCTTTCATCCTTTCCCTTTCTGTTGATTTGTGTGTGTTCTGACCCTGCTTGTTGGAGAGACCTGTGAAGCAGGTCTTGGCGTTGTAATTTGTGCTAGTTGTAATTTGTGTTTAGTTGTAATTTATGTTTTGTTGTAATTTGTTTGTGTTTTGTGTTTTGTTATAATCTGTTGATCAAGGCTAGCTGTAATCTGGTCCATGGTGAAAGATGTCCTTAGGTTGTGACTGATTCTGCCTTTTCTGTTTTTCCACATACAAGTGGAAAATGAAATCTTTTCCAAACCAGTATGTCAGAAAGTAGCATCTGGACTCTAAAAATCTCACCTAACAGATCCACTGTCTCTATGTTTCTATCTTCTCAGCCCAAACCTTATCAGACTCTGAGAGAAGAGGAAGTTTGTTAGCTTAGTCAGAACTGATATATGTGGATACCTGTTCCCCTCAGAGTGGCAAAGCTATAGCTTTTCTGTTTGCTTGGTTTGCATTGCGTGGTGGTGCCACCCCCCATGGAAATCTCCATGCCATACGCTGGCATGGAGAAAAGTTCAGTAAGTCTGTATTCCTTAAGCAAAATAAAATTCTGATCTGGAAATTCATCAGATTCTCATCAGAAGGGTGGGGAAACTTATTTGTTTCAAATTAGGTGTTCTATAAATTGGCATCCTTTTCCCTTTTGTTCATGGTCTTCCTCCTTCATGGAGAACTGTGTGTTCTGGTGACTGAGAATGTTTGTGAACAATCACAGTATCTGGAGTTACCTTGGTGACCAGTCTCTAACCAGAAACAAAGGTGAAAGCGAGGAGACTGTGACCCTGAAGCCACTCTAGGTTTGTGTTCCTGCTCTTTTTCTTTCCTTAGGAGCTGGAGCGGCCTTCACAAAGTTATACCAGGAAGCATTGTCGCTTTCAGTTTTTGGAAAGGAGAGAAATAGTTTTTTTTTTTTTTTTTTTGGTTTCTCCCATGTTAGGATAGGGAAGGATTCAAGAGGCATTAGACAAAGTCAGCAGCAACTTTCTTGGCTCCTGTCCTGCTGACATGTATCAGGATATTTGTGGTCAGTTTTATGTAAATACATATTTAAGGCACATTAGAAGGCCTGAATATGTCCCTGAGAGGTCATGTCCCTACAGAACTCTTTTGAAGTAAGTACTCTTTCTCATATAATTAGGTGACCATCTATAAGAGTGTTTCCAAAGGAAAGCGAGCTTTAACGGCAGATTGAATGGGGTTATTGGGGGTGGGGGGCAGTGAAAGAAGAGAGGTTAGAATGTGTTCAGTAAAGTAATGAGATAGGACATTTGTGCAGATGGCCAACATTAATCATGTATATTTTAGTGTGTTGTATTTTTAAAACTTAATTTCTGACATTTTTATTTTCTTCACATAAAATTTTCTCATAAGATGTAGAAAAATGATCTAATGAAATGCAATAGTAAACTCCTAAAAGCCGTTAGCTTTAGAGTTTGATAGGCAGTTGGGAGAGGGGTGGATACAGGTGTGTGTATCCCTTGGTTAGGGCAGAAGTTTTATCAGTGAGTTTCATGTCTTTAAAATCAGTTTTATAGTGGTAGCACTGGCAGTCCTTACAGGTGCAGTGCCCATTCTCGGCATCCCTGTTTACATAGGTCCACATGGGAGCACCTTGGAATGGGGAACCTGCACACTTGCAGGAATTCACATGTGCCCTTTGCTGAAACCTGGAGACTGATAGGTTGGATCTTTGTGATTCAATTTGCATTTTTTCTTTAGAATTTGAAATACACCTATTTAGGTAAAGTATCCTCTCTCTTGGTAAATGAATCCAGCTGGCTTGCCTGACGTCTACCAGGCATCACAGGTGGTTCCCAAGGCAGGTATTGGGCTTTGTGGAAAGAAAGAAGCCATTGCAGAACTGACTTATTTCTCCTGGAAATTGGGAGAAGCTGTTCATGGAGGATGCATAATTCCCTAGGGTGGGGGCTGCAGTGATTTTTGTTCATGGTCCCTCTGTAAGCCAGTTCCCAAAGTTGCTTCTCTAGGGAAAAGAGACTGCCATTTATAGGCCAGTTACGAATGTCCTACACAGTAGTGTGACTAACATATGAAGTGTCTGTAGATATGTTTCCCAGGGCCCTTAAAATCAACATTTCCCCAGTAAGGAAACTTTATAACAAGAGGGAAGGTAGGCATTGTCTGCTGCCTTAGGATACAGTCTATGTATTTATTACCCCCTTGGCCCTGTGGCTTCTATAATGTACATCCTAATGATTCTCTTTCGGCCATCTCTGTGTTTAGGTTCTTGCCTGTGTGACAGTCTTTAGCCTGCCTGCTAGTCTGTCCGCTCAGACTAAATGAGAGTTGACTTTGTGCATTCTCATTCCAGGGTTAGAAGTGCTCAGAAATACTTATGACTGTCCCTCTCTTCTGGCTCACCACAGTGGGCACTGGTCACAGGCCCTAAATGACTTTGCTTGGTCCTCCATCCTTGGCCTTCCTGGTGGTCATGCACATTCTCAGGCAGGCAAGAAACCTGGTGGCTCACAGCAGGCTCTGGCTTTCTACTTTGCTCTGATCTGTGATATATTTGAAAAGTCTTTCTTGGGTACCAAAAACCCTGAGTACAGGGTGATATTTTGTACTCAGAGATGTATATTTTTGTAAGATTTATTATTATTTTTAAAGAGTATTTAGGCTGGTGCCATAGCTCACTAGGCTAATACTCTGCCTGTGGCGCTAGTACTCCGTGTTCTAGTCCTGGTTGGGGCGCCAGTTCTGTCCCAGTTGCTCCTCTTCCAGTCCAGCTCTCTGCTGTGGCCCGGGAGTGCAGTGGAGGATGGCCCAAGTGCTTGGGCCCTGCACCCGCATGGGAGACCAGAAGGAAGCACCTGGCTCCTGGCTTCGGATCAGCGCAGTGCGCCGGCTGTAGCGGCCATTTGGCGGGTGAACCAATGGAAGGAAGACCTTTCTCTCTGTCTTTCTAACTCTGCCTGTCAAAAAAAAAAAAAATGTTATTTATTTATTTGAAAGGCAGAGTTACAGAGAGGCAGAGGCTGAGAGAGAGAGAGAGAGAGGTCTTCCATCTGCTTGTTTTCTTCCCAGATGGCCACAACGGCAGGAGCTGAGCCAATCCAAAGCCAGGAGACAGAGCTTCTTTAAGCTTTCCTACGTGGATATAGGGGCCCAATGACTTGGGCCATTTTCTATTGCTTTTCCAGGCCATAGCAGAGAGGTGGATCAAAAGTGGAGCATCCGGGACTCAAATTGGCACCCATGTAGGATGCCAGCACTGCAGCTGGTGGCTTTACCCATTATGCCACAGCGCCAGCCCCAGATTTATTATTTGAAAGGCAAAGGTAGCGAAAGAGAAATTGCCCATCATCTGGTTCACTCCCCATATGGTTCCAATGGCCAGGGTAATCCTGGCTGATGCTAGGAGCCAAGAATACCATCCAGGTCTCCTGTGTGGGTGGCAGGGGCCCAACTACTTGTGCCATCTTCGTCTGTTTTCCCAGATACGCTAGGAGGGAGCTGTATTGGAAATGGAGCAGCCAAGTCTCCAACCAGTGCTCATATAGGATGCCAGCATTGCAGACAGCAGCTTAATCTGTTGCACCACAACACCAGCCCCAAGAGATGTGTCTTTATAAGGTCATGTGTTGCTAGGAATCAGCTGAGCCCATCAAAGCCATGGCCAGCCTGGAATGATCAGGATCCTAGTGACATTGTGCCTATGGTGCTGGGCACTAGGGGGATACTTTCCAAGGGCTTTAAGACTGAAAGTAGGGGGAAACCTGGTGTGGGGTTTTAGAATTGCTCTTGCTGAGGAAAATGGGGCAGTGCCAAGGTCATCAGGTGCACTTCTGGATTGCAGCCAGAGCAGATGACCACTGCGAAGGGTCAGCAGATCACTTGATGAACCATCCTTCTATCCTGACTGCACAGACATAGCTCAGCTCTGGATCATCTGCCCCCGCATTCTCCCTAAGCCTCTTCTCCTTCTCTCCAGGGGAGGCAGGAACTTCAGTGATGTGTGTGGTGGTTTCTTGTTTTTCCTCAACAGGTCTTGCAGGTTCCTTTTCATGCTTCTGGGTTTGTCTTATAGGAATGAAGAAATGTTTGCACAGTGAATGGGCCGGCTGGATGGGAGCTGTCCCTGATGGCTGTGGAATCCTCTAGTCAGCTTGGCATGGCTCTGGCAGATCAAGCTCCACACCACTCTGAGATGTGCTCCTACACCCAGCAGGAACTTCTAATCACCGGGTGAGAAAGCTGGTGCTGGGCCCACCCTCCTGCTTCCCCCTGGCAATTTGTCATGCAGAAGTTATCTGGGCTGCTTGTTGCTCTCATCTGCCTGTCACCCTTGCTGTGCAGAAAAGGTGGCTAGAAATTGATCATTTGCAGGTAGGGACTTGAGAGGTACCAGGACCAGGCTACAGAAGTTAGGATGTAGAGGGGCACTGGTGTCAGTGCCTGCGAAGGACTCCCAGCCTCTTCCCCCAGTGAGGCTTGTGAGTGCTTTCACAGATGCTGGTGACTTTGCCATCTCTCTGTGGGAGAATTTCACATGTAGACCAAGGGTAGGAGGGTCTGTATCCTCTGTGTCCTTAGGTCACCCTAAGGTTGGGGCCCCAGGTTGATTTTCTGTCTTTTGAGCACAGGGTGGGGGATGTGGGTGAGGGTCAGGAGAAGGCATGTGGCCAGAGGCGATGCAGGAGGAGGGGACAGAGGGCAGACCACGTGGTCATGGAGTGATGGGGCCAGCAAATGGTGCATGGAGGAGGGAGGTGTGCAGGATGTGGAAGGGTGGAGTGCAGATTGGGCTTGTGGGGGAGTGAGGTTTGGCCAGCTGTGGCATCTGCACAAAGTGAGTCACACTGTAACCTGAGGACCACACCTGGGCACCACACCATTGATTACCATCCAGCTGGTCTCTAGAATCTTGCAACAGGAAGTTTTCCAAGGTTGTCTTCTGGTCAGCAACCTCTGCTTGATTATTTGGTGGCCTTTCTTTGAAATTGAAATGTAGTATCCAAATAACAGAAGTTGCTCTACCTCCCCTTGATGGCAGTCTCGAAAGGCTACAGGTCACTTTTCTGTGCCGACCCTGCTGCTTCTCCTCCCTCTGTTACTATCCCTTTCCCAGGAGTAGCCCTGGGTTTCCTCTGGCCTCTTTATCCCTTCAGTTTATTGAGCAAGGTCGTAACAGAGTTAGAGGAACTGAGTCTCTAGGTCAGGAGGGGACTTGGCTAGGATTAGATATCTATGTGGTAGCCCAGGTTAGAGAATCTCTGAGGAATTTTGTAGAATCAGATACTGTGTGAAACAAATGAACTATTAGAATTTGTGTGTCATGGTGTTTGGGGTGGTATATAATTATAATTGCAGTGATGATATATGAATAGTGTTCAAATTCAGAGTTCCACGGTTTCCGGTGTGTCCTTCCGTCAGAATCTACATAGACACATTTATCCTCTTGTCTATGTGAAACCCATCTGCAAACCTTCCCCCATGTGTACATCATAGGCTCACAGCACCATGGAAAGTCTTAGGATAGAACATGAAGGGGCCTTATAGGTCAGGAGAGAAAAGCAGAGCAGGCCTGAGGTGTGGGGAGTTCTGGGCAGGCATTAGATATAGGCCTGAGATGAGTGGGGAGAGGCCTCTCATGTGTCTGTGTGCATCCTCCTAGGGGTGAAAGAGGACTGTCCATTACCCTGAGTGCACAGATAAACTCAGTGTTTTTATCTTTATGAAAAGGGAGCCCCCATGGGGCTTGGGAATGCCAGAGAAGGATTCTGATTGTCAGAGAGGTGAGGAGTAGGAGGGTGGGAGTTGGGAACACTGACCTGCCTTTCTGCTGGCTTTGGATTTCAGCCAGTTAATTAAATAAACTCATTTAAATATGGCTTATGTTTGAAAAGCCTCATGTTCACATATGTGTGTAGCAGAAACAGCCATGAGAATTCAGATGTCTGACACCTTAATTCTTGTCAACTCCTTTATGGACCCTTTTAAGGTTTAAGGGAAGGGGCTCAGCGGGTTAAAGCCCCTGCAGTGCCAGCATCCCATATGGGCACCAGTTCGAGTCCTGGTTGCTCCACTTCCAATCTAGCCCCCTGCTAATGTGCCTGGGAAAGCAATGGAAGATGGCCCAAGTCCTTGGGCCTCTGCACCCATGTGGGAGACCCAGAAGAAGATCCTGGCTCCTGGCTTTGGCCTGGCCCAGCCCCAGTTGTTATGGCCATTTAAATAAAATCTTAAGAAAAGGAAAAAAAAAAAAAAAGGTTAAGGGAAGGGGTTAAGCTCATTGTTGGGGCAGAACATCCCTGCCAATCATGGAGTACCCAGTTCTGTTCTCTAGTCCCTAGTCCTTCCAATATATTGTCACAAAGCTATATGGGAAGCAGGAAGGGAGACACTAAGCATGGGATTTAGGCCCAAATGCCACAATAATAATGAAAAAAGAACTCTAGAAAAATCCAGGATGGAATGTGAGAGATACCCAGGCTTGAAGAAAGCTTTAGCAGGTCTGCTGTTAGGTCCTAGGCTTCAGCTTCCTTTGTGAGCAGTAAAATTACAAAGTAACAACAACCTTAGAGTAACAGAAATTTGGGTGCATGGATGTGCTTTCTGACAGGCCAGTCAGAAGTCAGAGCTGGTTTATGAATAAAAGAACCCAGCAGGTGGACTTAACCCTTTTCTAACAGCACAGATTCGTCATTGCAGATGTTACCTCCTCCTCCTAACTTGTAAGCATGGTGTTGTCAGCTTCAGGGCATGTGTGGCAGTGCTGGTAGGGAAGGGGGACTGGGAGTGTGGAGATTGTGTAGTGTAATGCAGGTTCCCAGAGCCTGCACTCATCCTTCTAAGCAGAATCACAGGAATCACCACTTAGTGTTCTGGATCTTTAGAAAGCCACCCACAAGTTGCTGCTTATGGCCCTTGTGGTTTCTGAATCACTCATCTAGGGGGAAAGCATCAGAGGGAGGGTTTGGCATAGGACTTTGACCTGAAGAAAGGGGAGTTAGGACTGGAAGAGAGGAGAGGAACAGGATGCCATTCCACTGAGGAGTGGGAAGGGCGAGAGTGAAGACACAGGGCTTCTCCCAACAGTGTCTTTCTCACGCAGTCTCCTGGCCTGGAGAGGACCTCTCCAGTTGCCTGTGTTTTCCACCATGGCCTGTGTTCTTCCATTTTTCTTCTCACATTGCTGACTAGCTGACTATGCCTGCTCTGGCCTGGCTTCTCAGTGCAATATTGTAACAAAGAGGTGGCCCAGTGGTTGAGGCTTAAGGTACTTAGCCAGATATGAGAAAGGGTTGGCCCACACTGTTGTGGCTTGGGGACCCACCAGCTCATCTCCTTGTTGGTGTTATGATGGCGGTGCTAGGAGGCTTTTTTTTGTCCAACGTGCTCGTTTTCTTTACCAACTCTTAAGGTATCAAATGCCCATTTGTAAAGAAACAAGGGTGGGAGGGTTAGACGTAGCTTTCAAGATTAGTCACCAGCATGTGTGGATTGGACTTCTGCTTCAAGCTTTAGCCTTTTTGTGGGCAGTGCCAGTGGGTGAGAGGTTAAATGAGCCACAGAAAGGGGCTCTGGGTGAGGTTCTGGTGGCTTTAGATACCTGAGTACTAAGGGATACACTCATCAAACTTACTTCTGGACTTGGAGTGGTTTTTCCCCCAACATAATTTCCTGCTTTCTTTTAAGGTAACTCATCATATTCTATTGTAATTATTTGCTTAATTGTTTTCTCTTCCAAGCGCCAATTTCTGTCTCCTTTGTGACTCCATCCAGTGTGTCACTTCATGTAGTTGTATAGCGGTTGTGAAAACTCCACTTCTCCTGTGGAGCCCTGCCAAGAGGTGCTAGCTGGCTCCAGCCTCTTTGACATAGTGTGAAAGACGCTCCAGTGTTGAGCACCTTCTGGCGAGAGGATTGGCTCAGGGACAGGGTCACAGTGCAGAATCAAATGCTGGGCTTGTCAGGGACAAGCTGTATGACTCCTGGTAAATCACTTTTTTTTTTAGAACCAGCTACTCACAATTCAAATGAGAAGTAGCAAATAATCCTTGCTATGCCTTACAGGGTGGCTGAGTTGGAAAAGATCACACAGGTGTGTTTTGTAGTCCAAAAGTAACTAAGTAAATGCCTACGTAGGCACTGTATGCATGGATATGGATACACAAAGAAATGTTTGTCTAAAGAATGAAACAGTATTAGGGGATTAAAATAGCTTATGAAATACCCTAGTGTAGGGGCCGGTGCTGTGGCTCACTTGGTTAATCCTCCGCCTGCAGCACTGGCATTCCATTTGGGCGCTGGGTTCTAGTCTCAGTTGCTCCTCTTCTAGTCCAGCTCTCTGCGGTAGCCTGGGTGGGCAGTGAAGGATGGCCCAAATGCTTGGGCTCTGCACCCGCATGGGAGACCAGAAGGAAGCTCCTGGCTCCTGGCTTCGGATTGGCGCAACACTGGCCATAGCAGCCATTTGGGGAGTGAACCAATGGAAGGAAGACCTTTCTTTCTGTCTCTCTTTCTCACTGTCTATGACTCTACCTGTCAAATAAAAATAAATAAATAAATAAATAAATACCCTAGTGTAGAACTTGGAGGGAGGCTTCTCACATGCTGTTCTGCAATTGGAATTGGGCTACAGTAGAGGGCTTATTCCCTGAGGCTGATTATAGCATTCCTTCCCTAGGCAATCTGGGGCAAAAGGTTCCCAATTTTTGTAGACTCTTGGGAATGTAGGCTGACAGACCCTGTTCTATGCCGATCTGTGACATCTCAGCTGACATTTCACTTTGCCAGATCCCCATTGAGAAGAATCACCCTTCACCTTTCTACCCAACAGAAATCTGAGCACCTTTGTTTTTCTGTGTCCAGGGCCTGTGACTGTCTTTTCTATGGATGGAAGTAGGGGTATAACACCCGGTCTGAGGAATGACAAGCAGAGATGAGATGAAGAAGGCTTTTTGCCTAGTGATCTTTTCTAGGCTGTAAGCATAACTGATCTCTGTGCTGGGGCACTATGAAGAGGCCAGGACAGATTTTGAAGGATTTGGAAGGGCTTGTGCTTTAGGTGAGATCTTTAGAAGTCAGAGCTGGGCCGGGAGGATTGGAAAGAGCAAGCAATTAGGAAAGGCTTTAGTTGTGTGGGAAATTTCATTATGTGATTTCTTAATAGACCATTATGAAGCAGATTCATTAACAAAATCTTAATAAGTTTCAGGGTTACTCTTCCAACTTCCCAGGGG